GAGAGAGAGAGAGAGAGAGAGAGAGAGAGAGAGAGAGAGAGAGAGAGAGAGAGAGAGAGAGAGAGAGAGAGTCTTTATGTAATTAGATTATTAGAGCTATCTTTGGCAAGGAGCTAGATATTTTCTCCAGTGCTTGGGATAAAAAAGCTAAGCATGGGGCCATGGGCCCTATGCAAGGAATACACACAAACAGAGGTTTTTTTTTATGTCTTTACTTTAGTAATTAGTAACAATTACTAATTAGATGAATTTAGATCATTAGAACAGTTACTATGTTCGGCAAGGAGCTAGGTATTTTCTCTGTCTTTGATACAGAGAAGCTAAGCATGGGCCCTGCACAAGCAATACACGCAAAAAAACGAGGTTTTCAATGATCGCAACTGGGCCACTTCCAACTTCCTCATATTAAAACAGACTGACCACCAATCTACAAATTCAACAGATTAAGTCAAACTGCCCGTCAATCTCCGTTATCCACAGTCACTGTCAGCCAGTATCTCTTAATCCATGCAAACAGGATCTCACTTCCATTATATCTCCAAATTTCAATCATAACTCCAGTTGGCTATGAGTCCATTACTTCGTTTTTTTTTTTTTTTTTTGTTGCCAAATGACCTACTATGAGACGGCAAGATCATTGTGTTTTGAAATTTTGACTCTTTTGAGAGCTATTGGACAAAACGGCTTTGGTCGCTAATTTTGAGGGATCCGAGACCTTTCAAACGGTCTGAGAATCAGCTTCAACAGTTTTAACTTTTAAACCTAGACAACTACATCTTTAATAATAATATGAAAATGGATCTTTCATCAGTTGATAATTTACCAGACTTGAATCACATCTATGCCCTGGACTTTGCGTCTATTGATTCGGGATATCCCCATTGTCGCTGCAATCCTGCACACAGGCACGAAAATGGCAAAAAATTCAACCATGCCAAAAATAGCATGATTTGTCAGACAGCAGGTCAGCTGGGGGAGCCAGAGTAGGGTGACAAGTCCTCTTCCGTATTACATTACATTTTGCTTATTAAATTGAAAAAAACTAGGCTACCACCAGGACAGCCCGGGTCACCCTGTTCTCCCAGGCGGGCCGGCCGTCCAAGGACCAGGGAAGGTCCAAGCAAACCAAACCAAAAAATAAATAAAATCAAGACATCGCCAAAGAAACGATGTTATGCAGAAAAATAAACAGAACAACTTTTGCCTCAGGGTCGTATCGAAATTCTTTACCAAATTTAAAATATATATATAGTCAAACAGAGCTGCCCGGTGAAAAGTAGGCTAAAATATATATATAGTCAAACAGAGCTGCCCCGTAAAAAGTAGGCAGAGAGGGAGGAGAGGACAACAAACGAGGGGCTGTGGCAAACTGTTTCGTCCGAGTTTCACCGACTCATCAGGAGGCTGAACCCTCAACAGTCTGCAGAATCCCCTAACTGATTACACTGTAAGTGATAATCCACCTTAACCCCGGCTGTGGTTAAGCACCAACGACTGCCCGACAACTGATACCCTGAGGTCGCAGTCAGGTGGGCACCAACCACTGCCCTCAAGGTACCTGTGGCAAAAGTCAAAGCAGACTATCACTCACCCACACCAGATATATATTGGCCGGCCGGGAAAGTCGTCCCGGGCCACTCTGGTAGCCTAGGAAAACAAAAAACTTCTCTGCCTTGTGACACGTTTCAACTCGAAACAAAAGACTTCCAACTAATCAAACTTATTAATCAAAAGAAAAAAGAAAAAAGAAAGGAGACCTAACCAAAAAAAGAAGAAGAAAAAAAAAGAACCCATGAAACCAACTAACTAAAAACAAATTTACAAGAAAGGAAGCCTACCCGCCAAAAACGACTGCTTTATCCAAATGTCACCCAATTGCAGGCAGCTGGTGCAAAACGAACTGTTGAATCCAGACCTGAGCTCGAATCGGGATGGAATTAGATAAAGAAGATGATTATGAATTTACTCGAGGTCCATCCTGTATCTCAAGGCCATTGGCCCATTGCCCTTTGCAGAAGAAGGGAGCAAAAAAAGAAAAAAAAAAAAAGAAGAAAAAAACAGAGACACCGGGGAGAAAGTAACGACCCCCTGCAAAACAGTCAACGACACAATCTCTCATCTTCAAATTCCAGGTACTCATCTCGGCAGAGCCACAGCCCAGAACTCAGTAGTGGGGAACTAGCGATTTGCAGATCGGTACCTCGTGTTTGACGACGAGTGGTGTGTCGCTGACTAGTTAGCAGGATAGTGTGGGCTCCGGCTGCTATAAGTACCTCGAATTTGACGATGAGAGTGCTATGTCGTTGACTGTTCTGTAGGAGACCCCTTCCCCTCAGCTGGGTATTTCAGTGACAAAAGTGACTTTTCCAAGTTACTGTATTACTTCTAATATGCAAATCGATAGTTCCCCGCTACTGAGTTCCTGGGCTGTCCCGCCGAAATGACTCAAACGAGTACCCAGTAACAAAACTGACTTTTCCAAGTAATATTACTTCTCTGACTTTTCCAAGTAATATTACTTCTCTGACTTTTCCAAGTAATATTACTTCTCTGACTTTTCCAAGTAGTATTACTTCTCTGACTTTTCCAAGTAATATTACTTCTCTGTGTTGCGAAGTAATATTACTTGGAAAAGTCAGTTTTGTTACTGGGTATCGTTTGAGTCATTTCAGCGGGACAGCCCAGGAACTCAGTAGTGGGGAACTATCGATTTACATATTAAAAGTAATACAGTAACTCGGAAAAGTCAGTTTTGTTACTGAAATACCCAGCTGAGGGGAACGGGTCTCCTACAGGGCAGTCAACGACATAGCACTCTCATCGTCAAATTCGAGGTACTCATTGCGGCCGGAGCGGCCGGACCGGCGGAGCCCACACTATCCTGCTAAGTTGCTAACTAGTCAACGACAGTTACGACACAACACTCGTCGAGTCGTCGTCAAACACGAGGTACTGACTTAAAATTTTGGAGCGTAGCCACCCCCGCTGCCCCGGGAGTCAGGACATAAGCATTTTACTAGAAATGTTACATCAGAAATGTTAGGAAGCGAATAGTCTTGCATTGAATTTCTTACTGAACTACAGGCCTGGGGGGAAAAGGGCGAAAAACGTGACAATCTCAAATTGAATGTATTTGACCGCCGGAGTTTGCGAACCTACCTTCTTCCCCCGAACACAAAGCACCCTCATTATGGTTGTACCTGACCGGAAACATCGCTCGTATACATTCATTATCAGGGTGCATTATGATGATTATGTTTAGGGGGAATCAGGGGAAGACGAACCCATGACGGTCGTCAGGCCTGGGGTTTCCTCCTCTAAAACTGGGTTATGAGTTCACTGGAGCAGGATCTGATGCAGTGGTCGCCACAATAATAGAATATTCTAAAAGCACCCGCTTCTGAAAGACTGAAAGAATTGTCACTAATTGTGCTACGGACTGTGAAAGGTGAGTTTTCCTCCTTTTTCATCCTTTTTTCTGCCTATGGCTGCTTGAGCGTGCGGCCCTTTCTCTGTGCGCATTTGTGCATCTGATTGCACACTACCCGTACCCGGGTTCAAGAGGCACTAGTACCGTCTTCTTCCACCGAATACACCGCACGGCCGCCACGGCGTGCCTGGATTCCGGTCAACACGGTAAAATGGCATTTGGCACTCGGTACTTCCTAATCAAGTGCGACAAAGTTCGAACTCATGTCCTCGGTACTTCCTACTCGTCATACACTGGCAGGCACGCCGAGTACAACTTTGTCCCATTGGATTAGGAAGCGCTCTCTGTAGCAGCGCTTTCCCTTACTTGAGTTCGAACCTCGTCTTAGGGCCAGATCCCACTGGCAAAGAGGATTGGAATAAGTGGCCGAATCTGGACGTGTTCCAGGCAGAGATGCAGAAAAGTAGACCCATCACAAATTTTTGCACCTCTCCACAAACACATCCAGATTCAGAGGCATATTCCAATCCTCTTTGCTAGTGGGATCTGGCCCTTACTTGCGTAGAAGTTAGAACGTCAATTTGCATGCCGAAGAGTGTTGATCAATGATCTGTGGGACAAAGATCGAACTCATGTAAGCATTGTAAGGGGTACGGGAAAGCGCTACGGAGAGCACAGATCATTGATCAACAGATTCAACACTCGTCGGCATGCAAATTGACGTTCTAATCAAGTAAGACAAAGTTCGAACTCGAGAGTTAAAGTAAGGGGCACAGAAATTTAAAGGGGCTCAAGACCAACCACCAACACTCTTCGAAATGCAAATTGACGTTGTAATCACACTAATCAAGTAAGACAAAATTGGCAAAGCTCGACCTCTTGTAAGAGGTACGGGAAAGCGCCCAGGCCCCAGAGAACATCGATCACCACTCTTTGACATGAGTCACATGAGAATTGACCTCATCATAGTACGCGTCCCAATAAAAAAAAAAAAAAAACTTCCACAAACGCTTTTCACAACAACCGTCAAATGTCGTCAAGCAATCAAGGAAAATTATAGGTGGTTTTAGAAGTGGTCGGCGGAGGAGATCTCATTTTTGTAAAACCAGAGAAAATGTGTGAGGGTTAGAGGCCCAAGCCACAAAACTCACCATATCTGTCCCAGGGCACTCTTCCTCTGCAAAATTTCATGTGAGAAAAACATAGTGACTTTGAACTCGAATCTAACGCGGTAGTAACGCCCTCGTGTAACTCGGCCGCAAGAACAAAAGATATTAACGCCGATTGACCTGTATCAACTCTTTCCAATATCGCAACTGCGATCGAGCTCGCCTTTCAAACTCCCGCCCCTTATGCTTTTGCCGGCCAAGTCTGCCACTCACTTGCTACTTTGTCTGCCCTTCTCTCTCTCTCTCTCTCTCACACACACACACACACACACACACACACAAATCAGACTGTCGTCAAAACAAAGAGCCCGCCACTCGAGCGACCCCGTTTGTTTTCGGTACTACCAATGATATATGAAAAAGCTGGCTATCACGCACGGCAAACTCGTCCCGCCTTCTCTCTCTCTCTCTCTCTCTCTCA